TATGCGATAGCATTCAGAATACTAATCGAATTTTGAATAATGGGGAAGAAGCAGCAAGGCTAAAAAGTGCGCTACACATTGTTCCCTTCAGGGGGAGTAAAGCAGCATCTCGTCAAACTCGCAATAACATAGAGAATGCGACCATTAGGAGAAAAGTAAGACTCAGCTTGTACATACATGAGACTCTCCTATCGGATACTCAGATGTTATATCTTAGTACACACAGCAGACCAGAATGGAGCGCCAGAGTTTCAGCAACAGCGGGAGAAAATCAGCCTTCCATCCTGGAGCCAAAAGCCACCACTACCGCCCCACTCCTGTCTTGGATGACAGAACCCAGCCCAATAAATTCCTACAGAATTGCTGCATCAGTGTTCAATTTCAGCCCATCCCTAATGGTTGCTGCCATCCTGTCTTTCTCCTGTCCTTCGTCTGCCTTGTGGAACCAGCATCCTCACCCATTGTAATACATGTTGAGAATCAGAAACTCTAATTTTATTTCACTGAGAATAATCAATTACGAAAAAAATAGACACGCAAGACTTATACAGATTCACCTCAATTAGAGACTGTCCTTTTAATTCACTACAATGAGAAAAATTTAACAAGACAAAATTACACACTATCTTCTCTAACAGAGCTCTTTTATGATAATAATTCAAAATCGCTATTTGTAATATAAATTAGGGCAAAATCGAAAGTTATGAGGACACAAATTTCTAAACTATCCTTAATAAAATTTTGGTTCGAGGGTGGACCCTTTCAACCCTTACAACGACCTTACAGCAGAAGTAGATCCGCATATGGTTTTTGCACAACTACTATGATTAGGCTTCACAGCTTAACAATACACGAACGAGGCCAATTCCACTAGCACCCCAGTCTCCCTCCTCCTTCCCCCAATCAGCACCACGTTCCTCTCCTACCACAACACCCAAAGCAGGCCAAACACAGCTTCATAAACATCCCGCTGCACTCCAAAAATTAAGTTAAACTTGTATGATCTTTGAGGTTTGTGATCTCCCGTCATCAATCCTCCCAGCCTCTTCCAAACAACCTTAACGCCACATTTAAAGAAAATATGGCCTGATGTTTCGAAAGCCCCACAGTGGGCACAACCATTCTCACAACTCTTCTACACATCAGATTTTTTCCTGAGGGTAACACATAATGAAATAAATGCTAGTTAAAAATATTCTAACTTTGGGTACCATATTCAGCTTCAAGACTGCACTCCACCATGGTGCCAAATGTGCCACAATCCCCCCTCCCTCACCTCTCCCTGCCTTGGCCATTAACTTGTATCCGGTTCGCACCTTGTAAATACCAGACTTTTCAAAATGCCAAATCAATCTGTCCATCTGCCTATTTATTTACAGTGGGATAGACATAACCACCTCCACATCAATAGGTAACAACAAGGTGCTCAGTTTATCACAATCCCACTCACCATTGATTAATTCACTGACCTTCGTCCTATTATTTTCATCTCCATGCTTGTTGGTATTACGTATTATTGCATTTGTATACAGTTAGTTAATTAGTTGATTAGTTAGTTAACAGCTGGAATTAGTTGACAGCTGGAATTAGTTGGCTTCTTCTGTTTCCTTTCTATTTATACTCGTGTTGTAAAACTCTACTTACTTTTCTCGTGATCAAATAAAAGAGTTTCTCTCTCTTTCTCAATTCAGTTCCAATAGTTGGCAACTAAAGCTTGGTTGGATTTCACAAAATTCTTGAACCCCTATTACACCCTCACCTTTATGCTGCAAACCTCATCCCACTTTTCCATATCATATTCCTCTCCCTGTTCCTTGCACCCACCAGAATTTTCGAATTACATAGAGGATCTGACACTTTAAACATGATCGTGAGGTAAGTTGTGATGGACTGCAAATTAGCTAAATTAACACCACCCGTTCCCCAGTGGAGAGTAAATCCCCCCTCCATCCTTTGACCCTTTTTCACATTCGCTCTATGATGTCTGCAAACACCTCTTTCTTCTCCCTATCAACTACAGTTGGTCTGTCATGATTTTTAACTTTTATACGTCTCAAGTATTGTTGGTACGGGGATATACCTGGAGACTAATATTAGGAGCAAATTAATAATCAAACATGTCAGACGCATTTCAGATATGTGTCTCAATTAATTTCTACTGAAAAACTTGACGCTGATGGATATGATAACAATTTCAATTGAGGTAAATTGAAGCTCACCAGTGGCTCCTTAATAATGGAAGAAAACGAATAAATTCTATTTTATACGAGCAAAGCATCACAGAGGATAGATTAACATAGTTGAAAAAATGCAGATATTAATCTTTGGCACAAGAGGCTTGTTCATGTTAGAGAGAAAAGACTTCAATCTCATGCTAGGAAGCACTTCATTCCTAATCTACACGGTATGCCTCTTAATACTTTTGTTGATTGCTTGACTGGAAAAACACATAGAGCTACTTTTCATTTATATCCCCGGACAAGAAAATCAAATATCCTTGATTTGGTTCATTTCGATGTTTGATCTTTGCCAATAAAATCTCTTGGAGGTGCACATTATTTTGTGATTTATTGATGATCCCTTCAAGAAAGTTTGGACATTAGGTTTGAAATCTAAAGATCGAGCGTTGATGTGTTAAAAAAAAATTCCATGCTAAGGTTAAGAAGGAATCATGTAGATGGTTAAAAGCAATTCGAGCAAGTATTGGTAACGAGTATAAGGGATCGTTTGAAAGCTATAGCAAAGTTGAAAATTCCAACTAAAAACCAAGAAAATAGTTTAGGAACCACATACCTTGTTAAACATGTACGTCTAGTTTCTCGTTAATTTTCATTAACTCGATAGGATACTAAAACATATATTGTTGAATATAATATTGCTTATTAGAACAGTCAATTACATGAATCAACATAATTATCATATTATTTTAATTAGTCTTACTAAATTAATTATTTATTTATTTATTTATATTTTTATTTTTTTGGAAACTACGAGAATTCTCCTCCTCTAATAGAGATATGGAAAAAGCCATGAGTACACAAAAATGTTGACAAAATTCATTTCGATGTTGATGTGGCGACGCATGATTGGCCTGTATTTTTTTCTCTCTCCAGCTTTCAATTAATTCATGCTATATATTTTCTTTTCTTGTACTTGTAGCATAATTGTAGATATATTGTTCGATCAAATGCAATAATTTTTTTTTTATATATTTGACTATAAATTTATTTTGAAAAAATGAAAAAAATTCCACCATAGTCGAAAGCAAGAGTTTTTTTTTTTTTTTTTTCAATAATTAAATAACTTTTTTACATGCCTTTACAAAAGCCCGGTTTTAAGGAGAAGACAAATGCTTGAAAGTCAGTGTAACTTTTGTTTCTCTTACATTATCATTTACTTTTTTTAATTATATGGTATTTCCTCAATCATTCTTTGGTTTAGAATCTTACTTGGGAAGGATCGCAAAAAAAAAATAATAATAATCAATACCTTAGTCACTCATTAAACAATTCAATCGGGATTATAATAAAATATAGAGATTAGGCAGAAGTCTTCAATTTTTTCCTAATATCTTAGCTTATGTTTTTTATTTGAAGGTCCCATCTATAAAATAATTTAAGATTGGTGGTACAAACAATTGAATTATTGCTGCATTATTACATGTAATGCCATCATTAATGTCTCCACTCCATGAAATTATTTTTAGGTAAGTTTTTATCTTCAAATATTTCTAGATAACTTACTATTTTTCTTATTTTTTAAAAATATTATGAAAATAATTCTTAATTTACTAACATGATAAGAAAATATCATTTATACTATTATCTTATAAGTGAACATTGCAAGCTTTTCTAAGTCAAACAAAGTTGTTTTCCGTCTCTTTCTTTTATAAAAATCCATCCTTTGGTTTCTGAAACTTTATTTATTTACATTTTTTTTTTGGGTTAAAAATCAATCTTTGTAAAATTACTCGTATTTTGATCCTGGTTTAAAAGTTTCCTTGTTTTTCTAATGAACATAAAATCAGAAATTCTCTTCCTATAAGAGATGCATAATTTTTCATTAATAGGGACGATAAGATTTGACTCAGATCTTTTGTGTGACTTGATATTATGTTAACCATCTAATATAAGACAAATCACATGCTTCAACTTATTGTTAAAAAAAAAAAAATTAAATTAAATTAAGATGATATTTAAAAGTCTTATTATTGACCATATTTTTTAATAAAATCCCATAAATTAACTAACAAAGATTTCTAGATAGTTGTCGGTTTATCATTTTCCAGATAGATTAACTATTCAAGAAATAATTATTAATTAACAACACACGAATGTGTATGTAATCAAGACCCAAAGTTGGGTTTCGATCAAGACTTGTGTTGAACACTTCATAGACTTACGTTTAGTTTGTCATAATTTTCATTTCTAGAATATTAAAAAAATTAAGTAAAACTCAATTTAAATTCAATGATATATAAATATGAAAAAATTACAATATTGGTTTCTCAACCGCTTGTTTACCCTAGTAAGTTCCAACCTTTAGAGAGTAGTAAAATTGATCATCAGTTTTTATAATTATTGGACAATTAATCACTCACAATCACAAAAATCATCCAAGTATTTATTATTATCATTATGTGGTGTGCGTATGTTCAACTTTATAAAATTATTTTTCGCTTTTAAACTTGGAGAGATGTTGAGAAATTTGAAGTGAGGAATGCTTTAACAAGGTTCAAATAATCGTAACAAATATTTAAACAATTATGTTTTTAAGAACTCATTGTTCTACTATAATAAAACACAGCAAATTTTATTAAAGACTAAGGTGCATTCTTTTTTCCCCTAATGAATGATAACATACTATAACCAAAGGAAGGAATTTGAACACGTTACAAGAAGTCCCCAAGCCACCATCTTCAACCATCCTAATCACAAGGTTAGAAAATAGAGCAATGTTAGGTTAGAAAATAGGGTAATGTTATTTGCAATCGTTCACTGTCGTAGTCACCCTGTATGAACATACATATGGCGATTAATGATTTGATACATTAATATAGTAGTTTTTTATTACCTTATGTAACAAATTATTAACTATCACATTTATACTACGTAAAGCGACTGCAACAGTAAGTGACTGTAAATAGTGTTATTCTAGAAAATATTCATAATTTTTCCTCCCTATCGAACAAGATTCCATTATTATTATATAATCTGTCAATTCTCAATCAAGAAAAAAGTGCCTGGTACATTTTTATAAACTTTGTTAAAATATTTTTATAAAGTTATTAAATACTCATCAAATTTTTCATGGGATTCAAACTTCATATCTTCTATATTCATGATTATCCACTATTTGCGCTAATTCTATAATTAAAAATTTAATAAATTTCACATTTTTTTTAAAAACAACATGAAGAGAATTGGACAATTGAAAGCAGATTGTAGAAGGACGGTTAATGAGATGGGGGAAGAAGGATGATATGATAAGAGAGAAGACATGAAAATCTGGGGACGATGGGGAAGAAAAGATGGATTATGGTTCTTCTTCTCTTTTATTTGAAATTTGCAAAATTATTATACCTATGTGTGGACATTTTTTTTGAAATTTTAAATGTGTATGGTAGAAAATCAAATCTTGAGGAATTTATTAATCAATTAAGCATAATTATTAGGGAGAAAAAAAAATAAAAAATATATTCCCCTTTTCCCAAATTTTTTTGGTAAATTAGGTATTTAAAAAAAAAGAAAAGATCTTTATTAGCACTATTTATTGGTTGACTTTATATAGTCTCCCAAATTGGCCATTGCCTTTAAAATCCAGCTAGCATAACTTTTACTTTTTTTGTTTCTTTTCAAAAAGTGAACTTTTTCAATTTACGTTGTCATTAATCAAGAAGCACTTTTTCACAATATGCAGACAGCACTAAATAATTTTATAAATATAATTTTAAATCATTTTCCTTTAATAGCATAATAAATAAATTTTTAACTTATTTTCCTTGTGTTTTTCATCTACGTTGATACACACATTATAATCTTTACTAATTTGCGACAAATAAATGACAATTAATCACAATAATTATTTACAAATTTGGAGGAATCATATAGATTTTTCATTTTTCTATGCTGAATCAAGTAGTATGCTAATGAATAGCAATAAAATTAACAAACTCATTATGAAAAAATATCCCTAATTTGACATTTCTGAACGACTAATTCTCAATTACATACCGCTTTATTAAAATCTTATATTTAGCTGCCTGGTCGCACTTGACATTATGCCCCTATTTGGTAAAAATAAAAACTAAATTTTAATATAAATAAAAAATAATAATAATAAATTTTAATGACATATTCTATAGAACTTACAACTTTTCAAAATCAAATATTTCATTAATTTTTATCAAAATATACTCAAAATCGGATTTTAATGGCAAGGGTCATGTATCTACTTACCATATATTTGCCTCTATTTCATAGAATAGTAGGAAGTTTTAAAGAAAAATGTATGGGCAGCGCACTAAAGGAGACAAAAATGAGCAAAATAGGGATACAAAGATTGCCTTAAGCGCTCACATCTAGAAGTACTTGACTTTTTTCTTTCTCACAAGTCAATACAGCAAAACACGTTGCTGCCATTAAAAGGAAAGTAAAAAATGGAGTCATTGATAATCACCTCACCATACAACCACCCCTACTCCCACAGATTTGTTAATCTTCTCCACTCAAACCCTCCTCAAAAGAGCCATGCATAATCCAAGAAGTGAACTTTCTGACACAGTTGACTACAGAAATGGAAGTTATGGAGATTTGGGGACTTCTGGTTTTGGTAGAAATGATAGGAATTTGAATAACCAGGGAGTTCAATTTAGACCTAATCAAGGCATGGAAGAAGAAGATCCTGGTGTTTGTTCTCCACCTCTATGGAAAAATATTCCCAGCCCACCAAAAAGTCTTTCACCTTCACACCCTCTTCTTCACCACCAGAATTATAGGGCTTTTTCTCCAAATTCAAGAACACAAGCCATTGCTAGAGGGCAGTGGGAACTTATGGAAATGGTCAAGAATATGCCTGAATCTTCTTATGAACTCTCCTTGAAAGATCTTGTTGAACATCATAGAATAGAAACTCAAGATGAAGAAGAAAGGTCGAATAAAAAGAGAAATCATGGGATTCAGGGCTTACATCAGAGGGCAAAGAAAAATGAAACGATGATTAGAAAAGGGAGCTTTGATAACAGGGGATTGTTTCTGAAAATGGGTTTTCCGATTTCTTTGAAATCGAAGAAGAAAAATAATGTTGTTAACAATGTTTCGCCTAAGCCAGAGAGATCCACTGACAAGGATTGGTGGATGAAACGGTTTGCCGGTTCAAGTGACAGTGACAGCAGCAGAAGTAGAACCGGCAGCAGTGGCAGCGGAAGCACTGGCAGCACCGGCAGCGGCAGCAGTGGACGCAGCAACAGCAGCAGGTATTTTGAATTCCAGGAATTCACCATCTTCCCATAGGATTTAAATTTTCAAGAATTCAAAATATAGAAAACAGTTCAAGATTTTGAGTTTATAAACTTTAAATTTCAATACTACCAAGTAAAGACTATATGTAAGAAGAAAAATCATTCACGTATATGCAGTTACTCATCAGGGAGATTTGATTGAAATTTAAAATTTTGAGGGCACGTTACGGAATATAGAATCCACTGCTCAAAAAACTCACTTTGCAGATTCATAATCAGAGTAAGAAATCTCAATCCCAGTAATCAAGAACTGTTCACAGAATCAGCAGTGAAGTTTGTAGTTAAGAATTACACAAGAATAAAATTTTCAGATAATTAGAAATTCCGCTTGCCCTGTTCCGCCAGTTGATTTTCCTACTGGGAGAGCAATTTAAAGTGTTGTCTCGTTAATTGTGTCGACGTGCTAATCAATCATTAGGTCGAGGCCGATTGATAATAAACAACCGAGGTTACATCATCGCCCGGGGAGGTTGTTTGACAACAGAGCCTCACCCCAAAATGACTTGGGGACACCCGAACTGATCATCATGCAACGTACTTTATCAAGTATGGTTCTATTCATCCTTTCTGCTATCCCATTTTGCTGAAGGGTGTAGGGAACAGTCTTATGTCTAGTTATGCCGCTTTCTTTACACATACTATCAAATTCTTTATTGCAGAATTCTAGGCCATTATCAGTCCTTAAAAATTTGATTTTCTTGCTAGTCTGGTTCTCCACTTGTCTCTTCCAATTATTAAAACTATTGAAGGTATCAGATTTATCCTTCAAAAGATAGACCCACACTTTCCTAGTGTAGTCATCAATAATAGACAGGAAATACCTATTACCACCAGATGTGGGGTTACTGGCAGGGCCCCAAAGGTTAGAGTGCACATATTCGAGCATGCCTTTAGATCTATTAACACTCGTGGAGAAAGAAGTTTTGTGATGCTTACCAAGCACACAATGATCACAAAATGGCAAATCTGACACACAGTCATTACCAAAAGCACCCTTTTCATTAAGTAGCTTAAGTCCCTTGACTCCTACGTGAGCAAGCCTATTGTGCCATGTGTGTGTGTGATCAATCTTGACAAAGGAGATAGAGGAATTCATATCTCTAATCACTTCCCCAGTAGTAATGTATATATCGTTTTTCTTAATTCCCTTAATGGAAACTAAAGCACCCTTGATCATTTTTAGCATACCATTTCCAATTTTACCAGTAAAGTCATCCTTCTCAAGTCTCCCTACTGAATTTGTCATTCATTTTATAACACAAAAAATTTTAATTTCTATTATATCCTTTTATTATTTAATAATTTAATTTAATTTGTATTTGTTTTAATCTTGATTATTTTTTATTAATATAATAATATGTAATCAAGTAATAAATAATAACTAATGAATAATTAAATCAAGCTACTCATTAAAATCTAAAGTTACAAATTGATAATTACAAATTTAAAAAATCGGTAATTAAATAATTATTTTAAATAAATTAGTTTTTGAGAATTAAAAAATAAGGAGGAAACGAAATGTTCTTTGGATGTTTGAGAATAATTAAATAAGATGATGCGAAAGTCGCATGATTTGGTGTTCCGTTTATATAAAAGCCAATATATATATATTTAAAAAAGATACTTTCAAACATGTCAAACACGCTCTATATCTACTATTTCTATTTGCACATTCATTTTTACTTTCTCGAGGTAAATATTTAATTAACATAAAGATAGACCATAATCAAGTATGTCCTCAATTATCTAATGACGAAGTGTCTCAAAGATTAATGGTCATCGTTTTATTCGTAGATAGTTTAAATTTATTTATCTTTAACTCTTCCAAGTATTCACAACCACACACAAAGAAAATTCATATTTGACACGGAGTATTGAACAGAATATTCTATATACACAAAAAGTTATCTTTTTTATTTTTATTTTTTATTAGTACCATTGAATATTTTTATATTCGTATTTTTGTCTTTGTCATTTGAGCATTATCATGACATGCAACATATTGACAATTTCTATGTCACGTTAGACGTGGACATGGCATAATCAATGTCCAAACGCTACTTGCCCTAGAACCATTGTATTCTATGGTCTTTGCAAAAAATCTTCCAAATTTATAGTCTCTGTCTACTTTGTTCTATTCTCTTGTTTATATTTTTTATTTTTCCAAACTGATTATAGAAACTAATACATATGAGGTAGAATGCAAATAAGCAACAACCCCAGAATATTAAACCCTAGCCCTCGTCTTATCTCAAACAAACGAAGAGAAAGAGGATGGTGTAAAATTGGTACGTGCTATAAGTACAAAAACATTATGGTTGTTGGATATTGGTTAAATAAATTGAGAATTGAAAATCGATTAAAGTTCGTATCGAATTCGGTCAAATACTCAAAAGCTCGACTCAATCCGTTTAGGCAAAATTGTTTGCCACTTCGCCACTTCGAGGCGCACAAACGGGGATCGACCTGCCCGGTCAGGTCGCGAGGGTCGAGGGGGCAGCGCCCCTCGTGGGGGGGCGGGGGCAACGCCCCCGAAAGAGAATTTTGATTTCTCTGCATGTATTGAAGGGGATATTTGGCATTTCGAAAACCAATATCGGATGAATGAGAAATTACGAAAAAGACCTCAACCATTAGTGAATAGACACATTTTCATAAAGGTGCATTGTTTGGAAAGGGTGCATGGTTTGGCCTCAACCATTTCGTCCACACCCTTTCATGGTCTATAAATAGGACCCTTTGGGTGTCCTATTCCTCACAGTTTGATATGCAAAAACGTCTCTCATCCTCTCTTCTATCCAAAATCAAAATCATTTCATTTATTTTGATTTTCTTTCATTTCATCTGTGGAGTACATAAGCCTACATTGGGTTCGTTGTACTTGTGTTTTGGAGTGCTACAAACACAAGTGTAGCCGTTGTATCTTGGGAGTCGATTGCCGAAATCCGTAGGCACCGTTGCGGGGCAAATTCGACTTAAGGACAAAGAGTCCAACTCTTGCCTCGGCTTTGTCACCATCATTATACTTATTTCGGCGTCACTATTCACAAAATTCTTCCAACACACAACCCCTAGTATGTAATACTTACACCATCACTACATACTGAATTCAACATGGACCATGTCGAGACTTCATCTGAATCCAATGAGCATGGTCGACAGTCTTATCTTTACAAGAAGGATATTGCTGGCTGTAAGTGTTATACCCTAGATCCAATCGATTTAGGTTGTAAACGCTTTTAATATATTTAATGCATTTGATTTTGGCGAAATCTATTATTTATTTAAATTAATTTTGTAATAAATAATATTAAATAATAGAATCCGAAGACCCAATTTTTAGGTAATCTGTTAATCACAAGGAGTTGTGATTGTGAGATACAAATTACATATAATTGGATCTTGAATAAACCATGGTCGTAAGTAATAACGAGATACGGATATCGTTAATACAGTTAGACCATCACGTGTGGCATTTCTTACTTATGAAGTAAGTAGCTGATCTCACGAGCTAAAGTGTGGTGACACTTAAATGAACATGTGGATGTTTTGTTGTAGAACAAAACATTGGAGACCCGCTAAGAGATTCCACATGGATAACTATCTGAATGTCAGTGGCTAATGTCTAACGTTCGGTAGTGGGATTGATCCTTTAACTTGAGGTCGTCATAGTACCCTATATGAGGATAGTCATACTTTGGCGGTGTTGGATGTTGCTCTGAAAGGGGCCGCTAATACGACATCGTTCGGGTACGTCAAGAATCGTATGAAGGTTGTGATTGATCAATAAAGGATTCGTCACTCTTAGATAGTAGGAGATAATCTGCGTTTCATTCAATTAAGTCGATGATGAAATCCTTGGCCAAGGTGTACTCATAAGTCGAAAAGGAGTTTTCGATTTATATTGACTTAATAGTGGAACGAAAGATATGATCGATGATCGAGATTGACACAATTCCATATCTCGTAATTGATCGGATCGTATTGACGAAAGGATAATAGTTCCATGATAAACGAACGAATTTGGTTTTGTCATACCACGTGACATTTTCCGTCACATGTATTGCCCTGACACATTGCTAGATATCAATCAGGGACGGCGAATGTGAATTGACGATAAATTAAAAGGGTATATTAATTTATCAATTTTGATTAGATCAAAATAATATTTCACGACGTTAGGCATCGTGGTCGGGAACCTAATGGGTCGCACACAAAAGAGAATTGGAAGACTGCAAATTGTCAATTGATTAATTTAACAATCGTTGGATAAATTAATTAATTGAATTTGTTATTTATAATCCCGAATTAATTAATTGGATTAATTAATTCACGGACCGGGTTTGATTAATTGGATTAATTAAATATTGGACCGGACCGG